CCCTTTATTGGCGACGCACACCAATGCAGCGCACAAATGACATTGCAGATCAGGTACTACCCCAATTAGGGATGCACCGATACCGTTTTTTCGGTATCGAGTACCGATACCGGTACTTTCGCTAGCATGGAACTGCCTTCCCAGGTAATCAGGAAGCTGGGTGGTATGTCGTCATCCACAAGCTTCTTGCTTGCCCAGGAAGCCAGCACCATGCTGTTGACTGGCTCGATGTTGATTGGTTGGGAAGCCAGCTTTCCAGCCAATCAGCATGGAGCCGGCTTGCCGGCCAATCAGGAAGCCAGGAAGCGGGTCATTACCCACCGCCGGCTTCCTGATTGGCCGGGAAGCCGGCTCCATGTTACTTTGCGGAAATGCCGGTCAGGGGAAATTACAGTCACACACAATCACAGGACCTACAAAATCAGTAGCACTGTACTGTATTCCTTTAGTCCTGTGCTTTTACTACATGTATGGTTTAGGAGGTCTTTTAGAGATTCTGAAAACTGTAAGAGAAAAAAAAAAGTGAAAAATTGCAAAAATGGTCCGGCCACCTGAGGTTAAAAGTGAAGGGCAAGGCCTGTAAGGGAAAGGGTTGATCAGCCATGAAGCATAGATGTTATGCTGACACATATTTTGGCTTCATAGCACTTCTGCTGGCTCACATTAAACAGAGATCGCAGCAACACAAATTTCCTAGGAAGGTCAAGACACAGAGATCTAATGATTTCTATACAGGTAACTAAAATGTATCCTCCTGCATCATCATGTGGTAAAAGGGCAAAAGAATATATATCACCTGGAAAAGTTTTGTAATTAAAAAAATAATCATTCACTCACCCATTACGAAAAACCTTTAACATGACATGCAGGTAATTACTGCCGTGGCACTTCCCTCTCCTCCCATTGCTAAGTATGGTCACATCTGCTGATGTTTTATGAATTATGGAAATTTTACCCGGTGAACACTTGTCACTATAAGGAACTTTTAAATGCGCCACAAAGGGCAAACACTTTAATTTCAGCTGCAGTACAGCCAAAGCTTTCATCCACTCACTACAGTAATGTAAAAA